CCAAATGCATGGTGATATCCTCATCTTTATTTGTAATATTAGCCGGTCGCTTAGGGGGTTGGCTGTCCACTTTTTTTTTTTTTTTTTTAACCAGTTGAGGTGGCGCGCCGCTTGGAGTGAGTCTTACTTCGCGGCATGATTTTTAAAATATTCAAAGCAAAATTAATAATCAGTTGATTGATGCAGGATATGAATTAACTAATTATACCTGTGTCAACAAATTACAATACAAACTGCATGTACTCCCATTCAACAACTGTTAACCGAATTAGGTTAACCCAACTGAAAGGGGAAGCCCTCTACCACACTCACCCCCTTTTGTTTATTTGTTATTATTGTTGTTGTTATTATTATTATTATTATTATTATTATTATTATTATTACTACTATTACTATTACTACTATGGCCAGGCCTAGCTGCTAATTATCCCTTGCTAGGCTTGAACGACTTGCAATTCACAGAAACTGTAAGAAGGAGTGGCATGGGGGAACACTTCCCACTGCCTTCCCATTAATGGCAACTGTGAAATGAAACAGGGGTGGTGGGGCAAGGGGAGGGGGCTGTCCAATTTATTTAGGCGTCTGCCCGATCCCGGGGCCTGTCCCTACCTTTTCAACCTTAATGCGCCGCTTGGCACTACACAAAAGGCCAATCGGCCAATCTGGGGGAACCTGAAAGCAAAGCCCAGGGCCCCGATAGACCAAATACCAAAATTGCGGCTTTTTTTTTTTAATTAATACCACGCTGAACAGCAAGTCCTCCAAATTTTGGAGGACAGCCCAGGCCTCCCAACAAAGGCCTAATTAATCCTAAGGGCCGTCGGGGTGTATCACGGCCATAGCCACGCCCGTCCAGCCACTTAATTTTAGCATGATCCGCACCACACTAGGCCGCATAGGCCTCACAGCCCCCAATACTTGCGTCCTCGATGTCCGGAGGACAGCCAATGAGCCCCAAAAAATGGCCTGGCTCGATTCGTGGGGCCAAAAAGAACAGCCACGGGCACAGCCACGCCTTCCGCACCCATCTGGCCGCCCAAGCAGGCGCGGGCCTACCGTGTTAGGCCAGCTAGGCCTCACAGCCACGTGGTCCGCGGAAAAGGTCGCTTCTTCGGAGGCGACCCGACAGCCAGAGCCCAAGGGCCAGCAGGGGGCAAGAGCGGCCACAGCCGTGCCCGTCGCCGCGTCCTCCAAAGTCCGGAGGACAGCCAAGGCCTCCCAACCACGGCCTGGCTCGATCACAAGAGGGGGGGCGGCGGGGTGTAACAAAGGCCGCAGCTGCAGCCGTCCGCCTGCCCAGACACCGCGCGGGCCCACCGCGCTACCGCACTAGGCCGCAACGGCCTTGGAGCCATGGAGGCCTACGGGGAAGATTACTCCCCAGGGAGCGTGTCCCTCGGCAAGCGTGACTCTGACCCGCGGCCTCGGGCGCCTCCCTTCCTCCGCCGGCTCTCTCTCTCCACTGCCCTCCGCAGCTGGGAAGCAGCGAAAAAACGGGCCAACAACTAAGGCTAATAGCCTAAGGGCCCGAACACAACACGGACAAGCAAGGTGCTGCTTGCTTGTCCGAAGTTAAAATGGCTGCTGTCACGAGGCAGCGCGAGGCTTTATAGCCCCGCAAATCTCGCGGTGAAATCCCGCGAGACTTCAAATCTCGCGAGACCTCAGTCGCGAGATGATTCCGATTGGCCAGGCCGACCAGAAGAGGCAGGCCTTCCAGTCCGCCTGGCCAATCAAGTGTCTATGCCCTTTTAAGGCAGACGCAACATAGGCCCCCTCCCAACTCGTCGGGGGGGGTCTTTCCAAAGGTGGAAGAGGCAACAAGGGAGTCAGCTATTTTGGATCTGATCCTAACTAACAGGGAAGACTTAGGGCCTAAGCAGACGGCTTATTGGGCCATCTTGGGGGCAGGGAAGGGGAGGGGCAGCTGCACGCTCGGTGCCCCAACCCCTTCCCGAGGTCATCCTCGGAGCAGACAGCCCTTCGCACAGCCGGCACTCCAAGGAGGACCTCCCACCACAGCGTTCGCAAATGCTGCAGCAGAAAAGTCGCCGAAAGTGTGCCACAGCCTTTTGCAGCGCACTTTCAGTGACTTATGAAAGGAGCACTGATTTAGTGCTCGTTTCAGGGGCAGCGAAGCTGGGCCACGGGATCGAGGCATGCCCGCTCGTCTGCTTAGCCCCTTAGTTAATGGGGTGCAAGTGATTGGATCCACAAGCGGGAGTGATCATGTTCTCCTGAAGTTTATTATACAGTGGAAAGGAGAAGTCAGGCATAGTCAGGCATGCATTCTTGACATTAGGAAAGCTGATATTACTAAACTTAGAGAAATACTGGGGGTGATCCCATGGACAGGAATACTAAAAGAGAAGGGTGTTCAAGATGGGTGAGAGTTTCTTAAAAGGGAGATACTGAAGGCACAATTTCAAACCATTCCAACGAGGAGG